CACACACACACACACACACACACACACACACACAGAGCCCAGCTAAATCTCCGCTCCTTAAAATTCATTATCTTTATCTCAGCAGCCGGTAGGGGCACTTTACTTCTTTCTCCTGGGAAAACAGGTCTGGCCAAGTTTCACTGGTCTCTAAATCACACCCCCCACCTAGAAAGCCCCAGTGCATGAAGGCCTGAAAGAGATTCCTCCGGCTCCCAGGGCTTCTTAATCCATCAGCAGGGTCATCAGCAACCAACCTCCCCGGGGGCCACACGCTGTCTTTCTGGCTCTCCAGCTGAGAGGCACAGATCCAGGGCTGGCCTTCCCACTTCAAAGGTTCACAGCCAGCACTCCCCCCGGCCCGGGGAGGGGGCCACCAGACGTGGGGCCCCACGCCAGCACTCACTTTGAGCCCCGGGTTGGCAATGAGGCGGGTGTTGTCACTGAGGTAGGCGGTGTAGTGCTCCACCATGCGCTTTGTCTCCGGCTGGCTGAGGTGCTCGTAGGGGGAGGAAAAACTGCCAGCAGACAGCATGACGGTTGGACTTTCTGAAAGAGAGCAGACAAAGCAGCCTGAGAATCCTGGGGCCTCATTTCAGGCCAGAGCGTCCCGAAGGCTCTGCCAACCTGTCCGCAGTGGTGGCCTGGAGTCTTCCATAAGGAAAGCAAAAGAACTCGACACGGAGCGAGAAAGGAAAAAAAAGCCACATTTTCTCACTTCAGGGAGCTTAGTCAGGAAGGAACCAGAAGAGACACCCGTACAAATACATACAAGTACCTGAAAGGGCAAGTGTTCAAAATACCTCAGGCCTACACATAATACGCTTATTAGGACCGAGGAGACAGCGTGTGACATGGGGCCAGGCTGGGCTGAAGCTGGGCGCCACGGTTTCCTGGCTCCATGGTGTTGGGCAAGTTGTAATATATGTGATGTTTTCATCACCTGAAAAGTGGGGGGGGGAAGTTGCACCAACCTTAGAGAGTTACGGGGAGAATTATATTAGTTAATATACTATGTAAAGCAAGTGAGTTAAGTGTAAAGCATGTAGATCAGTGGTTGGCACATGGCAAGTGCTGTAAGTGTTAACTACTATTGCTCACACTAGTATTATTATCTAGGAAGAAGGAAAAATGGAATATTGGAGTCAATGCAATAATCAAATTTACAAAATTATTTTCACAGAAGGGGACAGCCAACCTTGACATAAACAAAGCTTGTAGAAATACAGTAGTTACTTGGACATATTTAATTGATCTTATCTAAGAGGAAAAGCCCAGTTCACTACTTAAGACAAAAGTCCTCTCAGTGAATTACATTATAAAACAAGAACACTACATCTTTGGCTTTGAAATTTTCTATTGTTCGGTCTTATTATATTTTGAAAAGCTTTAGAAAGCACTATCACGTGGCCCATCTCATTTAAATCTGTGGGTCATTTTCTATTCCTTTTGTGAGTTCTCACTCACGGTGTCCTGTTTCCTTGTGACCTAGTTATCTCTGCCTGTGCTGGACGCTGTACTTAAAACTAATTAGTAAGAATGGCTGAGGGCCCACAGGGTGGGAATAACTTCCTCCAGAGAGGACTGCTGTTTGATTCTGGCAGGTGCCACACCCCCAGGGGAGGCAGGGCAGGAGTGGAAACAGGTCCCAGCAAGGAGATGGGAGACCAGCCTGGGTGATGCATGGTGAGACTCTGGTATTCAACTGGCCCTTGACTAGTTAATGTTTGAGGCTCCTTAGACCACTCAGATGACAGGAATCCCAAGTCAAGGGTTGATTTAGTTTCGAGTCACCCTTACCCTCAAGATGTAGTCTGATAGGACCTCTGCTAAAGGCGTGTGTGTGTGTGTGTGTGGGGGGGGGGGGGTTGTTTATATATTTATCAGTCTCCACCTTTTGGGGACCATGGATTTGATCTCTGCCTCTTCTTAGCCACAGGAGTTACTTAAAGCACAGTTCAATTTCATGGTTGTTTCTTCTGGATTGATGAATATGTGCACTGCACAAGCGGTTTGAAAGTGCTGACTTTCTTCTCTGAGTTCTTAGATTCTCCTAGACTTTGACCCAGTACCTAACTCTCATGTCAGTTCTTTGATGCTTTTCAAGAAGATTTCTGAGAGAGAGAGTTTCCATCCAGAAGTTATAGTTGTCCTCAGTAGATGGGTCACAATTACGTAGTCGACCATGACCAGAGATGTTGCTTGTAATAATGCTGTCTCATTTCATTCTCATGATGTTGGCAGGGGGTAGCCGGGGAGATTATTATTATTATATTCATATCAAGGAGAAGAAAACCAGAGGCTTAAAAAGGTTAGGCTGCCCAGCAGCGTGCTGTGGACTCATGGGCTCACGCTCAAGGGGCCTTTCGGGCCAGGCGTGCCAGAGAAAGAGGACTGTCCCTGAACTCAGAGTGCTTATGACACAGCTGGAGAGAAAGGAACTTAAAAAAGAGAGAGAAAACAATAAGAATAATGCAGTAATATAAGAGCAACACAATAAGAAGCGTCAAAAGGCAACACATAATATTTCAGGGACAACAGAGCAGGGCCAGAGGTAAGAGGAGGAGAGACACCTTGGGGCATGGGCCTTTCTTGTAGTGACAGAAAAGGGCATTTTAGAAAAGCTTGCTGCAGTAAGATGGACTGAGGGAGAGGAAGAACCAAGCAGGACAGAGGACCCGAGGCTTTATGTCTAGGGGGAAGGCACATATACTTATATACACATGTATATTTAACTGCAATGCATTATATATGCTTTATTCATGTCCCAAGAAAGACAATGTCTCTCCCTTCTGCTCCCCTGAAGGGAGCTTTGCTAATATTTAATACATTGCCTCACAATCTCCATCACCAATGGAATTAGATGGAAACCACTTATTTGCCGTTTTCCTTTTAATTGTTTTAATTATCTCGCTGCTTCACTTTCATTACCAACTGATAGTAAACTGCTCTCGATGACCCCTCCACACTGTCCTGGGGTGGGGGGGCAGGTGTTTCTACTGCCAAGGAGAAGTTGGGTTGTAAGAGTGCCCAGTGAATCAGACAGTGGCCTCAGGGCTGTCTGTGGGATGTAGGACCAAACCATTAGTCTTAGGTAAAGTATTTGAGTTACTAAACTCTACAGTTTCTGAGCATCTCTATTAGGCAGCCCTGGGCGAGTGAAACACAACACAATCCCCAAATGTAATATAAAAGTTTCCAGTAGCCACATTAAGTAAAAAAAAAACAAAACAGGTTGAATTAATTTTATTAGTATACTTTATGGAATCCAATATATCCAAAACATTATCAGTTTACACGTAATCAATATAAAAACTTAAATATTTTACTCTTACAGTATATCCCAACTTGGAATAGTCACGTCACGTGCTCAGTAGCCACACGTGGCCAGTGGCTACCATACCGGACAGTGCTGCTCTGAGGGTTATCCACAGGACGTAAAAAATCTAGGCTTAGGCCTTCTTCTCATCTAGAAAAACTGCTGCACTTCACTTCTCAAATTTCAGAACGGTGACCTCATATTCACCAGCAGTCACGCACGGGGCGCCCCTACGGCACTTGAGAGAATCGCGCACATCTTAGCGTTTCAGTACGCGTTTTCATAAAATGTGAACCGAAGGGTGTACATACTCTCTTGTATAAAAACCAAAGGCAAAGCCTAAATTCAAACGAACGAACAACTGTAAACTCCAACCTTTTCTGATGGCCATCTCTGGCCCTCTCCAAGTTGTCTACACTGCTGGACAGTGTCCTAGAAGAGACCACTTAGCCTGCCCTGCTCCCCTCATCTCATATCCAGACAGAAACTCCACAGGGTGAAATTTAAACAAGGGACCCACACACTAGAGGCTGGGGGCCTCTCCTTGACCCTATTCCCACCTGGGCGCCCTCTACTCAGTTTGCTGGCTGGCTAATGACTCTTAGTCATGGTTTTTAAACCTTAAGTATTTCAACAGTGAAAAAGAGAACGCCGGTCTCACAGTACCGTGAGTACACTGTGTGGTATCGACGGCACACACCACAGATGCCTAGCGCGGGCCTGGCGCAGGGCAGTGTGCCATACAGCAGGTGGCAGCAAGGCCCAGGAGGGGCACTAGTCATGTCTCAGCCCTGCTGCCTCCTGTGTTCCCTTGGGGACATTCTGCGTTTCTGATAAAACCAAAAGTCCTCACCTGTAATAGGTCAGACGATGAATGCCAAATACCTGGCACATACAATTATAAATTACCTTTTGCTTTCTTTGAACTATTTGCCTATTTCCTAAGCTCTTTTGAAGATGGGGGCCTGTGGTAGATAGAGATATGCTATATAGATACACAGGTATGCTACCTGGGAACTCCTTTTACTATTTCTCCATCTTCTATCCTGTATCCCCACAAATCCTAGTATCCCTGGTCCCCATATCTGGGTGCTGGACTCTAATAGGCCATATCTGCGACTCTCTTTGATGGACTGTCCTTGGGCTACTAAAACCTCTTGGCCAGCATTAGCAGAAAGCTCAAAGTGACTACGGAATATGAAAGCGCAGCTCCTTTCTTGAGTCTGGGCAAACTCTACAGTATAACTTATACCCCGAAGCCCCCCTACAGAATTAGGCTGAGGCTGTAACCTTACCTAAAATTAAACTCTTGCTTGCCTTTTCCTCCTTCCCTATTCTGTTTCCCTTACTGCGTTGCTGGTTTCTTTCGAGAGCCCATCCTTAATAAATCATCAACACACAAACCCTCATCTCAGTGTCTGCTGCAGAACCTGACCCAAGGCCTGGCCTCAAACTGTTTTCACATCTGTATTCCCAAGCTGGCACTGCAGGCATGCAACATCTTTTTTTTTTTTTTTTTTAATTCAAACTGATATTTATTGTGCTATGAGTGAGACCACAAAGGAAGCTGAGCAGTGCAAGACTTTACCTAGAGTGGCCAGCTGTTTGAAGTGAAGGCAAGCACTGGGCTGGCCCAGGAGGTCCAGCCGGTGGTACAGCAGCTTGCTGCTGGGGACGGTGTTCAGGTTCTTCAGTTGTCTGACAGGTATTTCCGGTTGTATCACCACAATACAGAGAATAAAGGAGGTGTCTTGTACCTGGAAAAATCGATAAAGAATTTCTAATACAGAAAATGAAGGTTCCTGGGAACAGTGACTTTGTAATCCATTATATTCTCCTATCTCTGTCTTGTATCTCCCATGGAAAACTATTTGATGAGTAAATGAAAGACATGAAGATGGGTGACAGATTACATTTTATGTTTTCTATTTTCCTTTCTGATAGAGAGAAATTAAAGTCTGACGCAAAACCAGGGAGCTAAGGAAGGGATTAGAAAACTTAGTCCCTTGGACACAGTGACCGCAGCCTTCTTTTGCTTATTTAAGCTGGAACAAGGCATGAGAACACAACCATTATTTCTGATGGGGTTTGAAATGCATTTTGAAATATATAGCTGGTTTTGCATGAGTGTTTCAAAAACTGCCTATTTTAAAAGCAAATGTTGACTCCACACATACAGCCCACACAGATTCTGGTTTATTCATTCTATTATCTACTTTGTCTTTTCTTGGTTGGAGATGACCAGGACCTCCAACTCACGACAAGTACAGATCCTGTGGCTCCCTCACAAAGCCTGCCTGGCTTGTCATTGCAGACCAGGGTAAGCAATGTGCCGTAGCTTAGCCTCAACCAGTAGGCGCCATGTGGGAGCACTTTCAAACGCCCTTTGCTCCTAGAAATGAACGCTTGCCTAAAATTTGGTGGGGGAAATGTCCACCAAAGTATCAAAAGCCACGTCGAGCTACTTGGACCTAGCTCCTTGACTTAAGAACACAAAGAGAGCCAAACTACTTAAGTCTATTATATTAGGAGATGGACAGAATCTATTTAAAAGAGAGTCTGTAAATAAAATAAAAGAGTGATATAAGCAGCTAAGTCAGAACTAAAGCAGCTCGAAGGATTTGCTTAATGACCACAGAGAAACTCTTCGCTAGGCAGGTTAGAGTTAAGTGTAATTTAGGGTTTAGGAGGATGGTGCAGGATCTTTTTAAACACCGGAGAAATCTGCATCTCCCTGGAAGTGCTTTCAAGTGCCGCGGCCAAGGATATTCAATTAGATTAGCAAATTTAATCCACTTCTTCCTCCCACAAAATTAGAAAATGACCGGGTGTTCCAAAGAGGCATTTACTATTCTATTCCCCCTCTTCCCTTCTCACTGAGTCATCCCTCGAGTTTGTTTCCTGTGCTGCATGTTTCAAGGAACCAAACAATAAAAACTATCAGAATGGCCAGCATATAATTTTATCATTGTGTCTATTCTAAGAGAAAAATAAGAAATTACCCCAAGTCCTGGACCTACTGGGGTGATCACTTCAAAAGGTATATACATGTCTCATCACTATGCTGTTACACCTGAAACTAATATAATACCGTATGTCAACTGAAGTTGAAAAACTAAAAAAGAATTAAAAACAAAGTTAGCCTAGAAAACTTTATAAATATTTATGTTTATAAATAGTTCTTAGCTAGAAAGGGAATCAGATTTCAGGACAGGTCTTTCTACTGTGTTCTTATCTGAGAAAGACCGTCTCTGCGTTTGGGACTGTAATGTACCCAGAAGGGCTCTCCGGGACTGGGCCTGTTTTCCTCACTGGCTGCCCAGGGGATTCCTGTTTTGAAGTGAGGCAGGGCTGTGTGATACAGGAACGCTGGAGTGCCTTCTGATCGTCCGTCCGTCCGTCCCTCACAGCATGCAGCCTCAACTGCTCGAAGGTGGACTTGGGTTCCAGAGACAGAGTGGTAATCTCCTAACGCTCCTCACATAATCCCTCATGTTATATTTAAATTAATTCAGTGAAACAATCCATCCATGTCTGCTACATGTACGGATGCTAAGCAGTTTAATCAATTATTCTCAGCTTAAGTGAAGTCTATTTGGATTACATTTAGTAGAGGAATCCATTTTATTCCAGAGGACAAGATAAGCACCCACTCCCCTTCCCCTGAAGTAACTCAACAGAGCTTTAAAATATTTACTCTTACTGCTGGGCAACCAGGCCAGGCTTTTTAACTCCAATCTCATTATTTATTACCTCTTTCAGTTTTCACTTAATAGTGATGTTCTTGACAATTTCAGGACTCTGAGAACTACCTCAAGTGATTTCATGATTATACCTACTTGGCGGAGTAGAGTGGCCAGAATTTACCAGTATCACTGGAAAAAACACACCTATCTTAATGAGATAACACTTTCCAAAATGTTAACATTGGGTTTATTTACCCTACAAAGAAGGTCTTGAAAATGCCTGCATCTCCTTGTTTCTCTTTCAATGCCAAACATATATTAAGGCAGATATTTTCCCAGGGTGTAACTGAGCTGCTCTCAATCAGGTTATACTGCAGGTAACCAATTTCAAATATGAAAGTATTTTTCAGTCAAGTAGTCTGGTATCTGGCTCAATTCTTCTGCTGTGAAAATTAAACAATTCATCTTTATTTAAAAAACTGTATTAATACGAAAAATAAGGGCAGATGGTCCAATCATCTTCCAAAAAAAAAAAAAAAATCCTGAAAATGAGCTGACTCCGAGAATTTCAAAAAGACTTTGACCTTCCTCAAATCTGTACTGTCAAACAATAATGGTAAGATTAGGCTTGTAAATGTAAGTTTCTCAAAAAGCTTCATTATTTTGTTTGCTTTTGTTTCCATTGTAGAAATTGCTGTTGCCATAATGATGCTTTAAGAACCAAATGAGAAGGTTGGAGGAGAGTCACGTCCAAACCACGTTGGCTATTTCTAATTCTTGTGATTCCTAAGCCAGACACAGACTCTCTATGAAGCTGTTTAATTGTCTGCACGCACCACTAGGCTGGATGCTCTCGAAGTCACAGGGCCTATCTTTCTTCCTTATTCTTCTTAGCTCAAAAGAAATGTTTAAGAAAAGGTTCTTAAAGGGAAACTTAAGTATCCATTTGGAATAAACAGTTTAAACACCAGGTATGTCCATCCAAGGGAATCCCAAGGATGAAATTTAGTGATGAAATTTGACGATAAAAATGGAAGTCCACTCTTCTTTTGACCAATTACAGTCTCAAGCGCCCCGTAACAGTATGTTATGGTGTGCTCGGAAGAGGGAGTTAAGGGCTGAAACACAGGGCATACGGACAGTGTGTGTTAGCTTCTATTTCTTTGAAGCCCCCTATCTGAATGAGGCTAGTTAAAAAAAAAAAGCTGAAGTGGGAACCACAAGTTATGGCTCAAGAGTCAGTGCACTTGCAGTAAATCTGAATTATCCAAATTCTAGCGTGGAAGTTTCTTTTCCTTGGAATATGTTAACAGAGGGCACTTATGCTTTCATATCTCTTTTTTAAATTCCCAACTTCCACATCTGAGTTTAAAATGATAAAAACTAACTAGATATAACCTAAATCTGTATTGGTAGGGGACTGTTGAAGAAATTGGGTTCATCTATATAATATAACATAGCCATTAAATGTGCACGCGCGTCAACATGCACATAGACACTGATATACATGCCTGTGCGGATACAAATTTTCTGGAAATTGACCAAAGTGATTATTTCTGGGGAATGGAAGGTAAAAGCCAGGGGGCAGGGAAGGGCACAGTTTACTGTCTACTTTATATTCTTTTATATGGTTTGATTTATTTACCATAAATAATAACTGGTTTTATAAATACAAAAGGGAAAAATTATAAAATATCTGAAGCAACTCTTCTTTCTCCAAGCACTTTAAAACTGATTAGTGACACCATCTGACCCAAGGTCCCTAGAATTCCTGCACCCACAGCTGCTGGGCAAAGGCACTCCCCTCACTCACCATCTTCCAGGCGTAGCTGACGTTGTAGGCCTCCTTCCCGGTTTCTCTCAGCTTGTTTATGTGCCAGGACAGGGACGAGTTCACAGGCACTGCGATAATCTGGCTGCCCAGGGGGAGGCTGCATTGGCAGACAGAATGAAATATTTCAGGGGAAAGATAAAATTAAGCACTTAATTAAAGGCTGGGAAAAAACTGGGAGTCAATGACCACCTCCTGATTTTGAAAAGCAACGAAGCTCGTCACTTTTGAAAGAGATAATGTGAGATTTTCAATTCTGTCAAAGCATGATGTCAGCTCTGCACTAAAAACATTCCTGACTCTCTACCCCTTGCGCCCACCCCCCAATTCTAATTCTTTCCAGAAACTACATTGACTCAAATCGCTCAGTTATTACTTTACAACCAATGAGCACAAAGACCCGTTTCTCCGTAGGTTACCATCTGCCAAAATAATGTATCATGGTTGGAAAAAATCCAATCTGCTCTTTATTTCAAGAGAAAATGTTGTGTGTGATGGTGCTATTGACTTGGAATGGACGCTACCTTGCCAAGCTATTTCTTGGCATGCTGGGGAGCTGGTCCTCAACTTGACCTTTTATTTTGCCAACGTTTTCCAATTTGGTACAATGGGAGTATTCTTTTTTAAATGAGAAAACATATACCTGATTTTATAATTAAAGGCAATGTAAACACTAAATTTGATTTACAAGACATTTCTCCCAAATCATAGTTCTAAGAGACCTTACCCGTTGTTCAAAGTAACTATATTTTTGCCTATTATGCTCAGGAAAAAATTACTGAGTATACTTTTGATAACATTAAAATAATTTATATACTTGTTTTATATTCTATAATAAACACTCATATTTGACCTCGAAGGATCCTATTTTCAGAGAAAAATAAAATACTATGACCCTCACCTTTCCCTTACCTTAGAATATTTTGCCGAACCAACTCAAATTTTGGGATATTTTCATAATGAATGATGTCAGTATGAAGAGGGGGTTCTGATAGTAAATATGGCCTGGTCAGGGATGGGTGCATAAGTGTATACCCTGAAATAAGAAAACAGAAATACAGGCTATGAAAGACATGTTGTAGGAAGTAGTGAATCTAATCAAGTAGCTATCATAGGTTTGAACCGTGAAATACTCTGGAGGGCTGTCCAGCACTCAGCTTCTCAGTATGTAACTCACCAGTCCAATAAAGACTGAACTTGTTTTGTGTGTTCTTGCATAAAACTGAAGTGCAGAAAGATGTCTTAAATTATCAAACATCTGTTTAATCAAGAATATTTTGGAGGCACTGGTCATTTGGTCTTCATTTTATGAAACGCTTTAATCTATCATATAAATCTTAATGCCAGTAAATCCAAAGATAACAATATAGACCAAAAAAAATCCAAAGGATCACATTCTATGTGTCATTCAATCCTTAAGTCTAATTTCCTGGTGTTACAAATAACTGTTACCTACCCCTCAATACAACATAGAAATAAATGAATAATTTTTAGATTCATTCTGCCACCTTTATGGTGTTCTACTATACACAGTAGTCCTAGTCACACTGTGTTTGTAGAAATACTATCATTTTCTACTTTGTTAGAGTCAGAATAGCTACAGATTATTTTTTTCAGGTTGCTAAAGAAATTACTCTTTCGCATAATTAAGTTTTAGCAGATTACCTTTGTCATCTATGAGAAAAGTATAAGAAGCCAAAGAGTCTTGGTAATACGTCACATCTTCAAGGATGTAAGCCAGGTTCACGTCCACACCTACAATTCCCAGAAGTAGGTTTCCAAAGTAACAGGGTTTACTCACAGTCATTATCAAACCTATGGGTTAAAAAAAAAAAATTCAAAGAATACCAGAGAAGAATGAAGACTGGAGCTGTGCTCTAGGGAATCATAAAGGCTGATATCAGGCATCCCAGTTCTGCTGGGAAGAAAAGTTCCCTGTGTGACCCAGTAACCAATCTCTGCCTTTCCAGGTTGCGTGAGTGAGTGAGAGTACACGGGAAATAGCGTCTGCTGGGGGTTCCGATATCTCAGTTACACTGAGGCAATGTGTACATTTCCCACTATTTTTCACCTTGAAGGACATGACATTCCAGAGCAATGCAAATCATCATCAGCACTTAATACATCATTCTGCTTCCTGGAGTAGGGAAAATTCAGCTGAACTTGAAAGAGTACTGACCAGGGTATCCAAAAAATCTGGGTTCTACCCAGCTGTGCCCCTCATGTATCATGCATATTTCCTTGGACATAACTTCTCTGAGGCTTGATTTTCCCGTCTGTTTGAAGGACACAGTAATAACCGCTGTACGGATTTCTAGGGGTTGTTAGACGAAAAGACATTGTGGATAAAGGAAAGCTTCTAAGCGACTATGTTTCTCTAATGTGTCCTATCCAAAACTGGGACGATAGAGAGAAAAACTTAGAAAGGTGCAGAATCTTGTCCACCTGGAACTCTGAGTAGCTAAAGGAGACAGACACCAAGTTTCCAAAGGAATCTATTTCTTGGCATTGGGGCCAGAAATTTACAAACTTTTATGTAAAGAAGCGGAGAGTCAATATTTTAGGCTTTGTGGGCTACATAGTCTCTGTTACATACATTTTGTGTTTTTTTTATAAACCACGCTTTAAAAATATAAAAACCATTTTTTGGCTCATGGGCCAGACAAAAACAATAGTATACTTAGGGAAAGAGAAAAGAGGAGAGAATGTGAATAGTGTGTGTGTCAGTGCATCAGGAAAGCGGAACTTTCCTCCCACTTTTACTATGTTGGGTTAAGTTGCTCCACTTCTCTCAATAAGACTTCAGGTGTCAATGGGGAGCTGAGGCAAAGCGATCTCTAGGACCCCAAACAATTCTACAATCCTACAGCTCTAAATAAAACTCAAAACAAAAAGATGTACTTTCCTACGTTTCATGGCATGTTCAGACCTTAGCAACATATCAGGAAGCCACCCTTCTATAAACACGCAGGAAAGGGCTTTGGATCCCCTTAAAGATTTCTACAAAGAACCGGCTTCCACACAGAGCACTGTGTACGATGCCCACGCAAACTATTACTCAGTTCCTGTGATTGTCAAGGCCAATTACATGCATCGCATGGCAGGAGGGAGTGGATACAACATTGCAAAGCTGTGAAAAGTTATGCCCAGGTATAAGATAAGTAAGTTTTGAGGACATACTGTACAGCGTGGTGACATAGTTAACGGTACTGTATTGTATATTTGAAAGTTGCTAAGAGAGATCTTAAGAGTTTTCATTACAAGAAAACACTGATAACTATTTGAGATGATGGACAGTAACTAAACTTACTGACCCGTCTTTCTCTTATCAGACTTAAAACACTTGTGGAGGGTGGGATGTGTGCCTTACCATCGCCGCCCGACACAATGCTTGGCTGGGGGTCCGGGGGCCAGGCAGCCTGCAGCGCTCACATGCGAGCACTGAACACTTCAAATTACTCTTTCGGTGGACTCCGGTCCACTTCTCCCTATCTTTCAGCAGGAGGTGTCCTCCAAACTCACCATCTCCCATCTCATCGGAAAAGGGGAGGCTGAAGACAGCCTCATCAATCATCCGGTTGGGCAGGTTGGTGTAGAACCTGCCGACTGTGGTCTCCAGGTTGCTCAGCTGGTTCAGCACCATCATGCTGCCCTTAACGACGGGCAGGGCCGTCCGGTCGGGCACCCCGTACTTCCCCGAGTTCTGTTCAGCCAGGTCTCTCAGAAAAGCCAGCTCTTTCAAACCGGTCACCCCATCTGAAACGGAAAGCCAAGGGAAGCCAATGCGGAGAGCGTGGTGCATATTTCTGCAGTAACCTTGCCATTCACATCGAATAAGGGCCCGGCTCATCTCTGGTAACGCCTCTTCCCAGCTGATGACCCCTCTGCCAAAGAGCTCTTTGCAGAGACCATCTGGACTCAGGACGCTGATACCAGTTCTTGCTGAGGAACAGAGCCTGAGGCGTAGCCTTTCCTCAAACAGTCAAGAGGGCAAAGGGGATCTTCAAAAGGCAACGGTGGAAAACACATGAGTAAACAAAGGAGCTCCGTCTAGCAAGGATGTGTTCTCCCCTAAAAGTTTAATTATAACATCTAAATTATTTTTCTGCGTTTAATATTTTAAAGCAGAAGTCATGACTAGGAAGTCTGCATTTAATTTAAATTAGTAGATGAAGTCGTAAGAGTTTTAAAGGATAGAGGTTTACCATTTCATTTCTTACCTCCTTGCCTATTAGACACTTGCCAAAGTCTCAGGCAACTAAATGAAAGGATTATGGATTGCATTTAGGATGCCTCCAAACCCTGCATCCTTAAGCTCATTTTAATTACAAATGTTTTCATGTTTGATACTGTTAGGATAATACTGGACTTGATTTATTTAATGTATATTTTTTTCTGTTTAGGCGGTTTTAAAACTTTGTAAAAGATTTAGGCATACTGGGATGTATTGTTCTACAACATCTGTAATCCATAGCACAAAAATAAATTTAATAAACCTTTTAAAAATTTTGGTTTGCTATTGTTGGAACATAGTCAAAAGGATTAGTAACTGATCCCATATGGGTACCACTGTAAACAAATTCAAATGATTTCAATCACTACTGAGATTTTACCAATGAATTTTAAAAAGGCTTTGCCTCATGTTCTTGAACTATTTAGTCATTAAAAAAAAAAAAATCTGAAGAGTTCGTGGTTCACCTACCTTATGTGACATTATCATTTTGAAATAAGGAGTGTATACAGTTCTAGCCTTGGATCTAATGGGTATCATTTCTTTCTTAACATATTGTGTTTTAATAACTTGGCTTTGGCTCCACTCATGCAATGCTTAAGGGAAGTCAGAACGAAATTAGTGTTCTCTTTGCTTGACTTAAAGTTGAGATTGGGGGGGAGGGGTGTGAGTGGTACATTCTGAAGTAAAAGACAACACAAAAGACAGGACTGATCCCTGATCTTATACCACTGAGAAGCTCAGAAGCTCCCAGGGGTGAATGATAAAAAGAGGCAACTTAAGGCAATAAATACATTTCCTTCCTTTGTCATATACTGCTTGGTTCTCTCAAAATGTAAAAGAAAAGTAATAAACAGGAACATCTACTAATTAAAGAAGAACAGTATGGGATGCAAGGCTGTCAGAGATTGGAAATTTTATGTCACTCTATCATGAAATGTCATGTAGGGCTGGAAGTGGGGTAGCAGACTGATTAAGTACACAGATGGTTCTATTATCAATACAGTCAAGCTGGAAACTACGTTTCCCAGAATCCCCCTTCATTTATGCTTCCGGGTTAAAGGTGGCCAAAAGTAAAGTGCTGTGAGATTCAAGAGAAGTGAGAGATGGTGAGAGTCAGACACAGAGGGACCAGAATGTCCCAGTTTGCCCTGCTCACTCTGATCTGATTCAGTTTCCTTTCCCCAGCTGCTGGTTTGCTCACCAAGGGCAACCCCAGGCCCACCCCAGATGCTTCACTTAGAATTCACAGGGGTAGCAGCCACTAAGAGCTTCTTCTACATAGACCAGACCTCCTAAATGGTCTTCGATGTTTCTAGCTTCCAGATATCCCTAGAAGTTCTAACTTGTTCACCCATACCAGAGCTGGTTACTAAACTTTGAGTTGTCAACTCTTCTTTTTTGAACTCTTCTTAACTTCTCGAGTTTTCCCCATAATCTTGTACACTGTAATCCTGATGATAAATCCGTTATACCCAAATTCTCAGAGTGGTTCTGCTTCCCTAGTTGAAGCCTGACTGGAGAGTAAGGGAATGTGTCAGTGCCAGTGAACAATGCCCAGAGACGGCATTTGGAGAAAATGGCAGTGAGCATGTGCATCTCGCTAGATTAAAGGGAGAAAGAGAGGAAATAGGTATGGTTAGAGAGAAGTAAGCGGAGGTTTTGAAGAATGAAACTGTCAGGGGCACAGCAGGTGCATAAGATGCTCTGGTGGGAAGAGATGGGCCAGTAAAGAGATGGGTGACCACAACAAAGCTTCTTACTCAGCATCTGCCTGAGCGGACCTTCAAATCTAATGGAAAAAAGTGATCCCTTCATTTTATGTTTCCTCACTCCTGTACTATTGCATTTCAATTTATCTGCCTTGTCTGTGTGTCTTTTTCACTAGGTTATAAGCTTCTTGAAGACAGGGACTTTGTATGACAAAGCTCTAAAACCTCAGAGCACTGTGTTACACCGAAGGCTCAAAAAATTTCCCCTCCTCTCCCCTCCCCTTCCCTTGCTTTTCTGTCCTTTCCCTCCCTTCCCTAGGAGTTTGCATTTTACAAAAACAACTCCAAGTAATCCTTAGGACATTAAAAATATGAGAACCATTGTCCCTAAAGCCACGTGGTTCTACATGGAGCTCTGGAAGTGGATGGGAGAAATACGAGACCATAGGTGAGGAGGGGTGCTGGGTCAAGATATGGCCTCTTAAACACAAGAGCATATGGCCACCTTGAACAGAGAGTCCAAGGGGCCTGAAGAAGAACATGCTTTGGGAGACCAGCAATGCACTAACAGGTGGGGAGACAAGACACAGCCGAGAGGCTAGAAAATTGAGCTGCAGTCAGACTGAGGGATGGGTTGGAGAGCAGCAGGAAAGATATTAAGGATTACCTCAAATTTTTCAATTGACTAAACACTATCATATAATGTCTGATTTAAAAGCAAAATAAAAAAACAAACAAACAAACAAACAAATAAAATCAACCTTAATGAGCACCTGGCAGTGCCAGACACCATCCTGGGTGTTTACTCTACATTAGGGCTAATCTTCACAGCAAGCCCGTCGAGTGGATGCTTATCTCCATTCCACAGCTAGGAAAGCTGAGGAGGAAAAGGCACCAAAGAGGCTTCAGGGGTGATTCTGCAGGGAAGTATGACAGTCACGGTCTTGCAGAAGAATCTAGGTCAGTACCTTGACATCCTGCAGCTTAAATCAATGAAAAAACTTCGTAACCTCCACGCAGTGTCAAAATCCCAGAATATGGGGGAGAAGTGAAGAAGAGGGAGTTGCAGGGAATGCTTGGCAAGACCACATGACTGGAGAGAGGCGAGGGGAAGACTCCAACGCAGGCCCTGGGCACCAGCGCCGGGCAGACAAAGCCGGGCCTGGGGGGGAGCTGCTCGGCGGGCCCTCTGCTTATGCCCTCCAGCTAAGGACACCCCGATGGTTCTTTTTTGATTTTTCTGAAAGCAGCATACGCTCAGAGAGAACTTTCATCTGAAAGAAAAACCTCGCAACACTACCTACCATTCATGAGGGCGTAGGTGAGAACCATCACGGAGTTGTTCAGAAAGCTGTTTTCCTCGTTGATGATGCGGAGAGTCGTCTTTTTATCTTCTTCGGAGGAGTCCTTTGATGTAATGCCAGCGGACAGGTAAATTATGACCATGTCTGTATCTAAACAAAAACATACAAATCGTTACACTGGATGCTGGCTAAAGGCAGCAGCTCAGGTTCTTTGTCGCTTCCCCGACTGCCCGGCCTCGAGGACCTGCCTGGCCCACTGTTCCGCTCCTTCCCCTTGATGCTGGGCCTTTCATCTCCCCCTCTGCTTCTCGCCCATCCTGCCCCTTTGTGGGCAATGAGGCTCCACTTATCTGCTGTCGGGTAAAGAGACGCTCCTAATAAATTTACCAGATAAAAGAAGACCTCCTTTAGGCACCCATGGGTGAGATAATTTAGCCATCCCAGACGGAAAGCTCATCCACCTTCTGAAAATGAGAATTCAGAACCCCATTTAATCTTTTCACTCAGTGACTCAGGGTCTTCACCAAGAATTTACATTTTTGGGGGGTGGGGATTAGGCTTTAAAAATGGTGGTTCTTCTAGGGGCTCTTGAGACATGTACAGTTCTTTTCCCCTACACTAAATAGCTCCAAAACATTTTTGTTTTTAAAACTTGTCAGTGCAAAAGAGCAGTAAGACACGGCCGTAGGAGCCAGGCTGCCTGTGTCCACCTCCCAGCTCTGCGACTTACAAGCTGTGTCTGGGCGACGCGGGCACGTTTCTTAACCTTGCTACACCTACATTTCCTTGTCCTTAACACGAGGGTGACAGTCCTTACTTCACAGGAGGACTAACAGGTAAATTTGTGTAAAGAGTGAAAGCAAAAGGGCGGATGGCCAACAAAGGGGAAAAGACAAAGAAGGAAACCGGAGCACACACACAAACACAAAACAAACACAAAGCTCTCGTGCTGGTGTGAAGTAGCACCTGTGACGCAAGAATAAACTACTCTCCAGGGAGGGCTAATGGGTAAACTGAGGAGTCAGCTCAGTTCAGCGTGAAGAACCCCTTTCAAGTGCATTTACTCAACACGAAAAATGGCAGATTTCCTGCGTTAGAGACAGGGCTGAGTGACGGCTTTAACGGAGGGAGCGAATTAATAAAGAGAACTGGATTTTTACATTTTCTGTCTAATGTGAGATTCTTTGATTCAATGATATTTGTAAGACATTCTGCATACACGTTTATCATTTTATTGAGAAAGACATATTTATACATTATATGCTTATTTCTTCAGGTCCTTATTGTCATTTAATTGAGATTTGTTTTATCGTTACTGTGGCAGGCGATCTCTAAGCTGGTCCCCCAGTGATCCCACCTCCTGGTAGTAGCATCCTTGAACATGGGCTGGAGTTAATGACTTACAGCAGAGGTGGTGGGATGTCAAGAGAGAGATTAGGTCACAAGAAGATCACCAGGTGGCTTCTACCTCAATGCTCTCTCACCCTGAGGGAAGCCAGAAGGCTGTTGTGAGCTGTCCTATGGGAGGAATGGAATTGAGGCCCTGAGAATCAAATCCCACCAGCCCCCTTTGAGTGAACATGAAAGTGAATCCTTCCAGAGCTGAACTTTGAGAGGATGGCAACCCTGGCCAACAGTTTGACTACAACCTCCTGACACACTTTTAGCTACAGGTACCCAGCTATGCTGTGCCCAGATTCCTGCCCCACAGTCAATGAGATTATAAATGCTTATTATTTTAAGTCACTGAGTGTTGGGGTAATTTGTCAACCTGCAACAGATAATGAATACAGTTACTCTTTTAAAAAATTATCCTCACAATATTGAGGATACAATGCTTGAAGTTCCTTCAGCTTGTAAGTTTCTGCACTGAATAGATAACATATGCTACAACAATGTTGTAGACAAATGAACTGATTGAAGAAAATCTGAATCAAGGAAGTCAATCCATTCAAAGTTGCTATCTCTTATTTACTACTAAGATTTAGTATATGAGCAAGTCTTAAAGTCAATTTTGATGCTTGAATAATTCTCTAATAAACACTAACTGCAAATTTATATTGCACTATTTATCAGAAACTAGGAAGTGAATGCTGACGCAAAACACACACAAAAAATCCATACGCTTAGGAATATCCCCGCCTTAAACTGCGTGATAATGCTCCTCCAGAGTTGTAAATACACACCTGCGAACACCTCACTTAGAGCTTCAGGCTGGAAAAAAATATTGTGGGTGGGGATATAAACATACCATGAGGATGTTCTAAAGTAGGGGATAAACCGCTGTCCCACTGGCAAAGGTACCATGACAAATTCCTGGACACATCTGTAAAACTGACTTAAAAGAGAACCCGCTGAGTTTCTTACTCAGCTCTATGATTCTGGGTTAAACACGCTGCCACTGAGGGGTGGTTTTAGGGAACAGGCCCATATTTGGAAAGCTACAAGCCTGCAGCCCACAGATGCCTTTAGCAGTCGGTGTGTTTTCTTTCTCTCCCCACAGTAAGACGCACAGGACTTTGTGGGCATCTTCATGGTCTCGGCCTCATCCCTGATGCCATTCCTGCCCTATCCTCAATCGAAATATAGTTACTTTTCTATTCTTAGATATCAAACCTGCCAAATTTAGTCTGATTTATTTTTTTACTTATTAGGATAGTCTGTCTAGTCACTCTAAATGCTGTGATTAATCATGTTAGGGATGAGTAATGATAGGGACTTGGAGCAGAGCAATGGCCTAGCATGTACCTAGAAGAAAATGCAATGGACTCGCCATTTGGCAAGCCCCTGACTAAGCCACCTGCATGTCTTAGGGTCAATATAAAACAGGAAAGAGCCACTCAAATTCGGACTTTGCCCGTGTCAGTAGATTGCCACTCCTAACGACCTTACTCCTTCTGTTATAAAGTGACCCACCGACCAATAGCCCCAATAACAAACCCAGAGCAAACAATCCAGATGTACTGATGGTATCAGTCAGAGATCTACCATAGGCCAAAAAAAGATCCAAGCTACAATAATTTATGACATGTAGCTTCTGTTTACATGGCTACTAATGGGGGGCAGCCACTTTAATTTCGTGCACAGATTAATCCTCACAACAATCCTACAGGGTAGGTCCGACTCATTAGAATAACCTCACTCCCTGGCCAGGCACAGAGCAGGTGCTAAATACTTGTCCGTGGAATGAACGGCGGTGATGTACAGTGCAAGCTCCTGGGAGGAGTGTGCAGACCCCTCACTGTGTGGTGGCCAAGGCCACTAGTGGTCCGTGGCCATATTTGGGCTTAAGGTCAATTTAGGATGTCTGGGGTATCTGCCCTAGGTCAGCTGGCAGTCCTGGAGGAAACGGCATACCATAACAACCACAGCTACATTTATTTAATATTTATGATGGAATCCTGGATCTTATTATCACCCCCCGTTTGTGGATGAGGAAACCAGGCCTGGAGAGATCAAATAATTTACACGAGTTCACAAGGTTAGAAAAATTTCAGAGGGGGAATTTGAAACCACATTGGTTGAAATCCAAAACTCACATACTTAACCACTATGCTATATTGCTTGAGAGCACCTCAGATCGCCCCTTATAAACTAGACAATGCTCATTCCTGGAGTATTATTTCTTTATGCAACCCATTCGGGTTCTTTTTTTTTTTTTTTCCTGAACTGCCAAGAGAAACTTTAGGTGGAGGCCTGTGAACTAAACCTTGGAAATATGTTACTTGGCCTAAAAAAGACTCCTCTGAGCATTTAAAAAAAACCCACATACACACAAAACAGCGCCATCAAACTTTGTCCAAGTTAAAGACTCCTCTGAGCATTAAAAAAACAAAAAGCAAAAAAACAAACAAACCCAGGACCATCAACATTTGTCCCGGTCTGTAACAGTCATTCTTTTTGCTGTGTTTTTGTTTGCCAACATTAAGAAAAACAAACGGACAAAGAAAATGGAAGACAAATGCTTCCATCAAAGCAGCCTTCTGCTAGTGTATGGTGCAGGAAGATTGGTAAGAAGAGGCTTAATGAAGTCTCTACTTGCAATTTTAAAGCTGGAACAAATGTCAACATTTGAAAATCAAGGGATTTCACATAAAAATCCAGATTTCTGGTTTCTCTTGAAACAGAAGATCTGGCAACACTGGGCAGGAATTCCTGCCTGGCAACGCAGCTGGACAGAAGGGCAGCGGCCCTCCTGAAGGCGCATGCTCTCTCAGGCCACCCACACCCTACAGACAATGCTCGTCACCTCGCCTCGGGCTCGCCGACTCCTGTGCACTGCCAGGTCACTGCCAGGCTGACACTCCCTCCATTATTTAAATAGTGTGATCATCGAAATTAGACTTACAAAGCTGGCTTGATGGCTGAAGAATGAAGTAAAAAGAACGCTTCTATGGGGGAATGCTGACAGGTAGATGGCACCTACGGGTAAATGGCATCGACCAAACAGCCAATCCTCTTGAATACTTAAGACCTGGTCAGCCTTGTCCACTGGCCTTATTGAATCATGGGAAACTTTACACTCAGCCAGCCTGTAATATTGGTTGTGAACAGTTGTCACTTTTCAAGGCGAGTTAGAAAAATTCTAAGATGACCCCAATGACTGACACCCTTACATGATCCCCTCCCCTCTTGAGCATAGGCATGACCAGTAATTTGCTTCTAACCAGTAGACTACAACAAAGGTGATGGAGCAATTCTGCAGATGTAATTAAGGCCTCTAATAAAGCGATCACAAGGGACGGCAATCTGATTAAATCAAAAGCGAGGAAGGGTTTGATTGGATCAGATGAGACCTTTAAAGCCTTCCCTGAAGTTAGGACTTGAAGCGGGGATGCTCTCCTGCTGCCTTGAAGAAGCAAGTGGACATGAGTTTTACAGTTGCAAGGAAAGTGCTTATGTCAACAACTAAGCTTGGAAGACGACTGCAAACCTCCGAAGAGACCACACGCCTGGCTGACAGCTGGACTGCAGCCTTGTGCAAGACTAAGCAGAGAACCCAGCTGAGCTGTACCTGGACTTCTGACCCAGGAACACTGTGGGATAATAATATACAGAAACAAAACTAATATGCCATCTACCATCATTAGCTGCAATAATTACAGTAGCTTCCTTCTTTCAAGGGCCCACCATATGCCAGTCCCTGTGCTCTGCCTTTACCAAAGCAGTCTTAGTTTTCATGCAGACACAATAAAGAGCTTAAAAATATATTCTTTATTTTAGAATTATAGTTCAATTTTATTATTTTTAAAATTTATCTTTATCGTTGAAAGTATTACAAATGTCCCCTTTCCCCCTCATTGATGTCCTCCCCCATACCTGTCCCCCCAGGCCTTCACCCCACTATTGTCTGTGTCCATGGGTTATGCATATATGCATATAAATTCTTATGTTACTTTCTCCTCACCCACCCCCGCCTTCCCTCTGAGATTCATCAGTCTGTTCCATGCTTCTGTGTCTCTGGATCTATTTTGTTTCTACACGTTCAAGAAGATTGAAATCATATCAAGCGTCTTCTCAGACATTTACACAATGGAATACTATGCAGCTGTAAAAATGAAGGATCCCTCACTCTTTGAGACAGCATGGTGGGACCTGGAGAGTATTATGCTAAGCGAAATATGCCAATGAGAGAAAGACAGACAAGTGTCACATGATCTTACTCATATGTAGAATCTAATGAATAAAACTATATCCTTTAAATTTATCTCGAGGACACATTCATTTAAAAAACACACACCCTACATATAGATTTTCAAATATAAAAGGAAAAATGACACAGATTTCTTTCAGTAGTGTCAAAGCATGTGTATTTCAAATGTTCTTTCCTTTAGCATGCATCCTAATTCTAGATCTTCTTTAATATGTGAAAATTAAATTAAGAGGGCCTTTGTACATTGGAAGGGCTATGCTCATCTGAATGACAACTGGTTAGAGGACACAAGGAGCAAGGCAGGGACTCCTGTGGCCCTGTTCATGTGCATATGGTCGGCCACTCTAAGTCAACGAGGAGGCAAGGCTGATGATTAGCATTAAAAAGGATGTGGGTATTCCCCCGGGAAATAAATGGGATATGTTCTTCTTAAAAGGATAGAAAGAGGAGGCTCTGGAGTGAAGAAATTGTACAGACTGAGTACCTTGCATTGGAAAAAAAGAGAAAATCTAGTAAGATCCTAGTAGTACATGACCGTGATGGTAACACACGAAATTTTTATCCCAAGTAAATTAAAAAAAAAAAAATCCCTACAGATATGGTTGTGTGATCCATTTGTAACATATTCCTATCGCCACCTGTTACCCTCTAGTTTATCAGCCCTGGGAGAAAATGCACTTACTGGCTTGGAACTTCGTGTTATTGTTTGTGCTCCTAATCAGCTGAAATGCCTTCTGAAACCCCACGGCGTGCTGGGTGGGACTGTCCAAAGCCTTGACGCTGCTGACGAAGGTGGACATTTTCCTCTTTGTCTCGCTGGTGGCTGGAGACAGGAAAGTCTTATAGCACTGGTCTAGGGAGCAGGTCCTGACCGTGTCTGCCACTGTCAACACAGAGATCTGGAGGAAGGAGAAAGGGAACTTGTCACCCTATCATGGGAAGGTGTTATTTCTTTTCTTCTTCCACTTTTTTTTTTTTTTTTAATTCCAGAAGACCCCTAGGAGTGAGAAGGCGTACAGATTTATGAGAGTTTAAAAATAAATGCCTGGAGGCACACATCTATCAAATTTTAAAAGGATTAGTTAAGGATTGGTAAGAGGGAGGGACCCTAGAGTTTGGTTTTTGTTCCAAGATGAAGTCAGCAGTATGGTGTTCACATATAACATTAAAAAAGAAAAAGTCCTTCATGCAGAGAAAAGTCTTAGCAAGTACTAACCATCTGGGTTTTTCAACTGGAGGTGGGGGTGAGGGTAAAGCTATGGGGTGTGTGTTTTAAACAACTATATTAGTGAGTAAAACCTTAGGAGCTGGAAAAGTGAAAATGATGAAGCAGAAATTGTCCACAGGCAAGAGATTATCACTGGCTGCAAACACACCTGTCTCTGAGGTGTCCTGAGATTAGTAAGCCTCCAGTAGCCTTCCCTCTCCCTTCCCTCCCAGCGATCTTCAGATAAAGTAAGCCATCCATCAACATCCAAGCCCTCACCCTGTTGCTCCTCAACACAACTTCCAGTGTGAAAGTCACAGCTAATTAGAAGTGAACAGGAGGCGTAAGGGAAGTGCAGGCCTCGGCTGGGTGGGGGTGGTTTTAAAAGAGATTTGGAATCAGAGTTGGCAGCTGCTTTCTCAAATGCTAGAGTGAAAACTAAACCACTCTCTTTTCCCAAAGTCATTTTAAAGATGGACTTAAAAAGTGTGTATCATAAAACACAGAGTGCTTTAAGAAAGGTGCTCGAGGCACATCCAATGCCATGTGGGGAACGGGGATCATGGTCACCTTGTCGTGTTCGTCGATGGCGCTGAGGATGACCTGGGCAGCATCCTTGGCGATCTGAAGCTGGGTGTCGGTGACGGAGGCCCCGTGGTCCAGGATCACCACTATGTGCTTTGACTGCGGCCGGACTGTAGAGACGTAGATGGGTCTGGAAGGAGGAGAAGCTCTCTGCAGTCACTCCTGGTTTAAGTAAAAGGCCTCGGCCTAACACAGCTGGGAACAGGTGTCAGGCATGCTGGTGCCTACGATTTTCCATGGATGGCATGGGAATGGAGAGACGAGCGAAGAAACAGAAGCTATACTGGGGCCCTGAAAACAACACCTCTAGACGACAATGCGTCTGCAGACCAGGGACTGGTAACCTGTGTCTTCCAGAGATTAAAGCAACAGGGAGATGGTTTTAAGGAGCAAATCCTTTGGAAGGCCGGCTTTACTCAAAAGTCAGCCCTCTCAGCTGCTGGTGGTGATGCCCCGCGTTACCCAACACCCTGCTCCGGGGAACGGAACGGTGGCCCCCTCACGCTGCAGAGACAGCCTTGGCGGGAGAAAGGCCTGCTCGTCAGTGCTGGGCCCTCCTTGGCAGCCTGACAAGAGTGGGACTTTGTGAAAACTCAGGCAGCCTATAATCTGGGAGCACGCTGAGCAGCTCTGAATAGCAGGTTTGGTTTCTCTCCCCCAAGACAAAGGCTTCTGCTAAGAGGGCCCTTTCCTTTCAGCACTGAGGCAATTCACACAGGTCAGCCACCAAAAGGCCCCTTATCTAAGCATTTAAAACCGTGCCATCAAATTTGTCCAAGCCTGTGATAGCCACTCTTCTGGCCGGGGTTTTGTTTGCCAACATGAAGAAAGGGGGAGGGGTGGAGCTCCCGGGGAGAACCGCCTCCCATCAATGCAGGCTGCTGCTAGTGTGCAGCACAGGAAGCGCTGTGAGGAGAGGTTTAATGAGGCCTCTATTCACAGTGTTAAAGCTGGAACAAATTAGGGGGAGCTTAAGAAAGCAAATCAGCCTCAAGAGAACGCTCTCCTTTATTGACACCCCTAAAACACTAGATTTTTTTTGGGGGGGGGAATGTTAGATGCCAGCTGAGTCACAAAAACCTGGGCACAAATTAAGAAATGTAGGCAAAGTACCAAAAAACCTCCACATCTGGCCAACCTGACACTCCCTGTGTCAAGCCTAAAGTCCAGCATTAATACTAAAGTACCACTAGCTGATACCACTGAGCCGGAAGGAAATGGGATAAAAGAATCCAGGAGACCTGGCTCCAGAAATAAAAGAGGGAACAGAAGAGAAGAAAAATCTAACTATCCCAATGTGAATAGGCATGTTACAGATGGAACTTTTTAGGTCCTCCAAGCTAGGTGAATAGATTTTTTAAAAAGGACACACCGCCCGGCCGGGCGTGGCTCAGCTGTTGAGCATCAACCTAGGATCCAGGCGATCGGAGCTCGATTCCCGGTCAGGGCACATGCCCAGGTTGTGGGCCAGGCAGCCGATCAATGACTCTCTCATCATTGATGTTTCCATCTCTCTCTCCCTCTCCTTTCCTCTCTCTGAACTCAATAAAGAAATATTTTAAATAAATAAATAAATAAATAAAAAGGACACACCTTCTTTCCAACTCAACTCACATAAATAGTAAGCAGCATATGTGTTCACACTGTCACAATAAGTTGGTAAAAACTGCCTGAGTGGGATATATAAACAGTAACATATATACGGTCGAGATGCATGAAACCTTCCCAGTGTAGGTGAGTGTTGATTTGGGACAAGGTCCTGCTTGTCCTTTTGGACTACCCCTCACAGGTGGTCCCTTAAAAACAGCATGCATCTAATTTCTCTTCTGAGAAGCAAATGAAAATCAGATGAAGAGAAGCTCCCGTGATGGTTAATTCAGACTCAGAAAAGTGGGTGTCTCGCACTAATGGCAGAAGTTCTGGCATCAAACATCTGACACTGCAAAAGGGGAACCGCTGGTATTCCAAAGGAAGGTGTCTTTGCCTGAGGGGCTCTGGAAAGTGATGAGTCTTGTCCTACAAATGATCTCTCCGCCACTGCCCTCCTGTCTAAGTGGCAGAACCTCAAGTCATTTCCGCGTTAATGATGTTTTCTAGTAGCTGAGATGTGAGCGTAAATTTCAAAAGGACGGCCAAGCACAATGTCACAGAAAGGAAAGCTGAGTATCGCCACCTCTACTCTGAGACATGCTATTGATTTCAGGGAAAGGAAGGGAGAGGGAGAGAGAGAAACATCACTGATGAGAGAGTCATTGATCGGCTGCCTCCAGCACGTTTCCTACTGGGGATCGAGCCCACAACCCCGGGATGTGCCCTGACTGGGAATCAGACTGTGACCTTCTAGTTCATAGGTAAACACTCAACCACTGAGCCACGCCAGCTGGGCTAGAGAAGGTATTACCATTTATGTCTCCCCAAAGATGTCTGAAGCTCAGAACAGTTTGGGGGCTTCAAGCAATTTCATTTCTTTAGTAAAATCTTGTTTTGTTTGGCTTGTTCTATAGTTCTAGAAAAGCTCTGGGCTTTATCACGTGCCTTTCTCCAGCCTTTCCACATTCAACCTATGTTGAAAGGCGAAATCATTTCAGAACAAGCACGAGTTTCTAAAACCGCAGCTTAGACGCAGAGCCACGTGTGTGAATGAGGACCCTCTATTTCACGCAGATCACTCTCAGGCGGTAATTGAAACTTCAGCAAGTAAGTCAACATACCTACTGCGATGCTCATAGCTGCCCTTACACCGGAACTTGTGCGCTGGGAAAACAGTGAAAATTCCTTCTTCGGAACTGAAGTACTGCCACTTGATTCCAGGGTTGGATTTCAGGTTGTCTGCAAGAACTGGAGGGGGGGGACGGACATGAAATACAACCACCGAACCCACAGGTGCACACAGGCACCACTCCTCAGGCATCTGTTTTGCATAAACTGCTTGTAGTATGAAGAAATCCCACTAGATAGAAGGCTGTAAATTTTCTACTAAACGTTTTCTTTCTGTCCCTTAAAAAAAAATGCCACATATTAGAAAATGTAATCAATGTTTCAGTCAAGTGAAGCTATTAATCTTAACATTGAATGGTGACACTCTATGTCCTGGATTACTTTTTTCCAGCATGAATGATTCATTGGTACTAATCCCTCCCCTCACTGGGCCAGCGTACACTCGCTGGCTTGGGGTACATTCTCTAACTGTGGAAAACAGTGATGTTAATCGGCCCAGTCTCCAGAGGGACTAGACGTGTGACCTCGACCTTGCTCACTCCATAATGAGGGAAACAGCACAGACCGTACTTGAAAGGCCAGAACCATGATCATTCAATAATAGCTTATGGAATGATTCCAACGTGCCAGCCCCGGGTAGAGACTTTCCTTTACATTATCTCATTTGATCCATACAACAACCCCAGGATCATCATTCCCCACTTTGGAGCTGAGAACATGTGTGTGGAGAGCTTAAGTGATTTGTCTAAGCTCTTCATCAGTAAAGAGTCGAGTTGGCATCCAAGCCTGGTCTCCAGGCTCCTTCCTATATTCTTTACGTCATGTGGTACTGCGTCCTCTCCCGTGTGCACTGCACCCGTCACTGATCAGCAGATGGAGTGGCAGCCCCGTTACTCTGTGCAACCCTGTCCCCACACCTCCATGAAGTCTGTCTTACCCTCTCTCCTCGGGATCAGAGTTCTCTCCCTTCTCTGATGCCCTTCTGCTCTGTTCCACACTAACTCGGTTAACATATTATACACTTACTACGTGTAGGGTACTGCTTTACCGCTGCAAAATATACAAAGATGACCCCAAAACAAATCCTACTGTAATAACCAATATACTAAAAGAATTACGTGCAGGCAAATGGAGCAGAAGGCAGTTCAATAGAGGAGGAATCTGAGCAAAGCCAAAAAGAAAGTGTGAGATGCCTTTGAGAGAAACACATATAAAACTCTGAATGCCACAGGGCCATCTTTTGGTCTGGCTCGGGGGTTGGCAAACTTCTGTAAAGGGCCAGGCTGTCAATAACTCTGGCTTTGCAAATCACATGGTCTCTGCTGCAACTCTGCCACTGCAGTTTGAGAGCAGACACGGACATCTGTAAATGGATGTGAGTGTGTGCCAATCAAGGATTATTTACCAACACCAGTGGCAAGCTGGACTTGTGAAAACACATTCAGTGCCTCAAACCTTCAGCAGTTACCCTGCTCCCCACACACCAAGGAGCTGTAGCACATTTTATGCTCACAAAAATCCTAGGAGTAAAAAAAATGATCATCCCAAGGTAGAGATAAGAAACCAGGATCAGAGAGGGTTTTGACCTGCTTGAGGTTTCAGTGGACAAGATAGGAGTCGATCCAGTGTGTGACCCCCAACACCCATCCCCTCTCCACTCTGCTAGGTGACCTTCTCAAGGTCATCACCGGGACGCGGGCGACCACAGTCTCTCCCGAGATGGATGGCAGATGGGAGTGTGTGTTAACATGGATGAGGTATTTCCTCTGCCTCATCTCCTGGGGGTCTGAGGCCTCAACCTTGATCTCATATTAGCGCTGCTCTCCAGGCAGCGCTGCCAACCCGGCAATAAAAAGGCAAACATTGCCTTTGGAAGTAAAGGAAAGCTCAATGACCTCATTTAAAAATAACATCTGTAACAATAAACAGGCTACAATGAGACTATTAAAAGGGGAGCCATTGAGATCAAGAATGTTTTAAAAATAAATCACAATTCATACAGCGCATGATACATTTAGTCTCACCACAAAACATCATCCCGGTTCCCTATAATCACTGCAGCACGAGAGCTTAAGAATCAGGCAAGGTTCCGCAAATGCTCCCGCTGAGAACTCCTTTGGCATCTGATTAAATTTCATCCATTATTCGGTACTAGCAGAAGATGATGGATATGATGGTAATGAGGACCCCAGAGCCCAGAAGCAATCTATCATTGTGGTGCGCACCCCAGGGGGGCCCCTCGCTGACCGAGATGTGAGGTGAATGAGCCCCATTTTCCACGCAGGCAGCCCAGAGGGGGCTTCTCCATTCATATGAGTCAGTGAGGTGTTCTGGTCACTGGAAAACTTGGGCTGGGGTCCTGCACACTCACTCTTTCTTCAGAAATGCTGGACACCATCCAGGAAAGAGCTGGGCAGATGCCCAGCAGCCAGGCCGTGATGCACGGCGTTAGCTGTAAGCTCTCCACGGGCAGGTCCCGCATCTGTCAAACCTGCTCCGCACACCTACCTCAGACAGACACAGAGGAGGCAATAAATGGTTTTTTCCTCACTGAAGCTTATTCCCAAGACAGAAGCTATCACACCCTCTGAATTCCTGCAGTATTTCACCTCTTGCCACCTTCTAGTTAGGATTATTGTTGTTAGGATTATTATTGTTATTATTGTTGTTAGAGTCCACCCTGGACTCTAAGATCCTCGAGGGCGAGGTCTCGATCTGAGTCAACTCTGTAGCTCTGGGCAGAGGCCCCAGTTCTTTCCACATCAAGGCGCCCACTTGATGAGAACCGCCGGGGTGATACCTGCAGCACACAGGCTGGGGAGCCGCTGCAAGGTTCTATTTCTCAACCGTTTTCTGATATTGTGGTTTGATAAATTCTAAATCTTACTTTCCTGTAATGCCAAATCCAATTAAAAATAAATTACATACTGTGACTAAATCAAAATAGAGCAATGGTAATTCTAAATATGTTTTTAAATGATCAACACTTCTTTCTCCCGTCACCACCACCACAACAACAGGTATAGAATTGACAGTTAACCCAGCTCATCTGAAGATTTCATGGGGACTATGTATCAAAATGTATCAACTGTATAGTTTAAACATGTAAGTTCCTTGGATGTCAATGGTACCCCAGTAAAGCTGATGTGATAATAAAATAGTGAAAATTTATTAAGTTATCATGNCCTTGGTGTCAATGGTACCCCAGTAAAGCTGATGTGATAATAAAATAGTGAAAATTTATTAAGTTATCATGTAAACCAGTTTTATATGTGGTGTGCCACTTTTCTTAATTACTTTGAGTTTATTATACCCATTTTACAGATGCAGAGCTTGCTCAAAGCCACCGGCGTGGAGGGATGATTTGATGTAGGTGAGTCTGCCCAAAGCCCTTGCTGTTTCCAGAATACTACAGTGCTTCTACATGTCAATAAGTGCATGCTGAGATGAGTTAGCAATCATCAGATAAAAAGCACACTGAGTATTTCTTGAGAGGCAGTATAAACATATATTAACATGGTGTTTCTCAATCAAAATAATTGGTTGCATTAGTTTGTAAATACATAAGGAAAATAAATACAATTAAGGAGACACACTGAAAAGGAATGATTTCACAACTGAAATAAGGTGTCAGGCTAAAGTAGCATTTAATCTTGTGAGAAAAAACAAACTGCTGAATTGCTAAAAATGGCACACACCAATGGGGTAGTCCGATGTCATGGGGTTCACCCTGACCCCATGGCTGGCTCAACTGAAAAGTGGCACAGACACAAACTATAGCTTAGAAGGCAGAGTCAACAGTAACTACAGCACCCATGATTCTGGGGGGCATCTAACATATTTTAGAATAATAGAGCAGTTTTTATTGAACTGAGAAACTATATAGCCGAGACCTCTTACTTACTTTGTTGGTGTCTTTTTTTTTACCTGTTCATTGCAGCAAGCCTAAGTAATCCATCTGGATGCAAGCCCAATGTTATTTTGCACTTTCTATTTAATTCAGGTTGGTACTTAGGAACTAGAAGGAAGACCTGATAAATCAGAATGGACTGGCAATAAGAAGCCATGGGTCGAAGTCCCATCTCTAAGACTGGCAAGCCCACAGACCTAAAATTTATTCTCATGTAAAGGCATCTTTCTGAAATGGAAATCAAATCCCACCATAGATTTGCTTAAAACCCTTCAAAAGGTTTCCCACTAGAACTAAACCCAAACTTGATTAGGCCCTGTACAGCTGGCCCCTTCCTACTCTCCAGTCTCACCTTTCCCCTCTTCAACTTGCTACATTGTATACACATCAAGAGCTATTTCTTTCAGCTCTGCAAATGTGCCAAGCTCTTTGCACAAGGTGATCCTTAGGTCCAGAGTAACTCTTTTCACATTCAGAGACTTTCCCTCAACTGTTATCCTCTCTCAGAGCACCCAGTGTTTTCCTTCATGGCAAAAAATGGGTCCTGATCGTTGTATTTAAGTTTGAAGCTATTCTCTCGCGCAGAGGAGCTGTAAGCTCCATGAAGGCAGGAGCCAGGTCAGGCCTGTTCATCACATTTCTGGTCTTCTGGTAAGTGCCCGGCTTTTAGGAAGTGCTTGGGCAATATCTGCTGAGTGAACCAGCGAATGATGATCTTGGTCACAGCTCTTCACTTATGTCCCCCGATTTCCCCATCGGTAAAGTGATGGATTTGGACAAGGTCTTCCCAAAGACCCTCTTTAGAAACCAAAGGAGAACATGTTAAGAGGGCAAAGAATGAAGGCCATAGGAGGGAAGTACACAGGTTTACAAATAGAGAGAAAGAGAAAACTTCCAAAAACTTGGGTTTAATCAAGTTTATATATATAAAAAAAAGGAAGAGCATCTTTACTTCCCATGGACTTAAGAGCTGTAGGTCAGCACTATGAGATACTAATAGTGACCCAACACTAAACAAAATGTCCAAACAGGACCAAGATGAGAATGCTGAGAACAACCGAGAAACTTAACACTGGCGTTTAAAGAATGAAGAGCTTCCTGGGATGGCTCCTTGTTCTTTAAAGGCAAAGTCTCCCCCTTCCACCCGCCTCCGCATAGCCTTCAACACATTGACTGTTTCTCTCTCGTACAGTTCCTATGTTAATCCTAA